ATGGAAGAAAGTTTGAATTTGCTGCCAGGCATCTACCTGTGCCTTTGAGTGAGCTTTTGGCTCACCTCCATAGACTATTGCTTCACCCAAAACTGCATGCACAGACACTCTAGAAAGAGGAAAATAAGGTGGGTTAATAGAATGACCAGTGTCTGGGTAACAGATTATCTGGGGTCTTTCTTTCCCATGGGCTTGTAACCTTTCAGAGGCTATCTGAGCGTAGAATTCACTCTTCCAGCTTTGATCATCCATGCCAACAATAAACAAGAAAGGCCCCTGGGCCTTTTCCAATGGAATAAGACTTTGGTGATTGTGTTCCTCCAATGGATTGCTCCAAGTGTCCATGAAATTGAAAAATCCTGACTTAGTGATTTTTATTTTTCCTATATCACTGACAAGTTTAGGAATAATCATATCCCTGTAATGCAGAGGAGCTATTGTGTTGGCTATACAGGCATTAATAACTACAGTGGCTGTGATGCCCTTCAAGAAGGAAGCCATTGAGAGACACAGGTCACCTCCTTTGGAAAATCCAAGAAGCCCAATACTAGGAGCTTTCACCTGTTGAGGAAAAAGAGAAAGAAAACAAGCTTAGAATTCATAAATGGAGGTCACAGACAGTGATTTTACATTCTCTAAGTAGCTTTCTTTTTTTTTTTTTGAGATGGAATCTCACTCTGTCACCCAGGCTGGAGTGCAGTGGCACAATCTTGGCTCACTGCAACCTCCGCCTCCCAGGCTCAGGTGATTCTCATGCCTCAGCCTCCCGAGTAGCTGGGATTACAGGCATGCAGCACCGTGCCCGTCTAATTTTTGTATTTTTAGTGGGGATGGGGTTTTACCATGTTGGCAGGCTGGTCTCAAACTCCTGACCTCAAGTGATCCGCCCGCCTTCAGACCTCCCAAATTGCTGGGATTATAGGTGTGAGCCACCGCGCATGGCCGGTAGCTTTCTTAACTATCATTTGCTTTCCTTCTTTATCCAACAATCTTCAAAGTTCAAATATGTCTTCTAATAAGCAAATCAGCTGATTTCCTAGTAATGGGCCATCCCCTAGTATTTCTGAGGATGAGTCAGGAGTATACACAGGGGCCCAGACACCCTATACCTAAACATTTCAAAATTATAAATCAAATGAACAAAGCGTTAAATAAGGTATATTCTTTTTTCCTGCCTTGATAAAAATACCACCATAACAATTCCTAAGGTCAGGCTCAAATTTAAAATCTTGGAATCCACTGGAGTTCTATACTGGAACATGACATAGGGGAGAGCCAGTCCCTGGATCCTGCACCACACTTCTCTTCCATCCCTGGCTTCTTCATGGACCTTAAGAGGCCTCTCACACGTGTGAGAGGACACCCCAGCCTGCATGTTTAAGGCCTAGGTATATATACACTGAGGAACTCAGAAAAGAGGCTTAGGGCCTGGAAGCAGGATCAGAGCTGTTTGGCAGACAATTCTGGTCTGCCAGATCCCAAGAACACTGGGGGTTGTGAGGAAACCCTGAAGAATATCTTATATCTTAATATTGGCATGTCTGGGTCTCTTTAAATCTGGATGATAACAGAGTATCATCCATTTTTGGTTATACGGAAGTGTTTTTGTTGGTGGTGGTGGTGGGTTTTTTTTGAGATGAGGTTTTACTCTTGTTGCCTAGGCTGGAGTGCAATGGTGCAATCTCAGCTCACTGCAACCTCTGCCTCCTGGGTTCAAGCAATTCTCTTGTCTCAGCCTCCCAAGTAGCTGGGATTACAGGCGTGCACTACCATGCCCTGCTAATTTTTGTATTAGTACAGACAGGGTTTCACCATGTTGACCAGGCTGGTCTCAAACTCCAGACTTCAGGTGATCTGCCTGCCTCGGCCTCCCAAAGTGCTGGGATTACAGATGTGAGCCACCGCAACTGGCCAAAATATTTTAATTAATTAATTTTTTCTGTCATCAGATAAGGACTTTCTTTATAAAACCATAATATTATCATACCCAACAAAATAAATAATGATTACTTCATATCATCAAATACACCATTCTTTTTTTTTTTTTTTTTTTTTTTTTTTTTTTTTTTTTTTTTTTTTTTTTTTTTTTT